TCCATATAACCCTATGGAAAGTAGGAAAAATTAGGTTTTTATTGCTAACACAACTTCTTGAAGCGAGTTCATTTAAGATGATTCTTATTGTAAAATGGTCTACTGAAGTTTGTAGAAATTTTCGATAGAAGTCAGTTTTCACTCATTACTTCCTTTATGATCGAAGACTCATTGCCATCGAATGCTCTTACTTGAGAATTGTCACAATTGCATTGGTACTGTGCCGATGCTGGTCCCGAGATGCGGATCATCACACATTGGCAATGACCAGGACCTTCAGTAACGGTAGGAATCTGTAACGTTGAACTCATCATTGCAAAATAAAGTTATTAAACAGTTGATAGAAAGAAAACTTCGGTTACCGGTGGGTAATCAACTGGTGGGCGGGTTGTGGTGGTTGGAGCCATGGTGGTCGTTGTGGGGACAGGTGTAGTTGTTGTTTGCACAGGATTGTACTAAATGTCCTCATGTACTGGTAAATAATCAAAGAAATGAGTTTTTAAGCTACCGGGTTGTGACCATCTCCGCATTGACATTGGTATTGTGGGTTTCCGAGAAATACGATTTGCAGACATCCGCACCTGAAAGTCTCGTGTTCAATGAGCTAAGCAGAATGCATGCTTACTTAAGGCTTAAAGATAAATCCCAAGACTAGAGTTTCATATTAACGCTTTAATAAAATAATTACAAATGTTGATTGAACGAACCGAGTTTGTCCATGTGGATACATCTGTATGTTATTTGTTAACTCATGAGCGAGTTCCGCTTGTTGGATGCTCTCAACTGGTTCTTGAACGCCATTGTCCTAAAATTGTTCTTTTACATGATAAAATCTCTGAGAAGAATATTTGTAACAGACCGCTGCTCCCTTGGAACAACTACAGGTGAGTCCACCAGCGGCATTATTTGGAACGCATTTGCATTCCTGTCGTTTCGCTCGAATTGTGATGGCGTTATCCTTCACAGCCTAAATCTTCCAATTAGGAAATGAATACTTGTTTTACAAAAGAGTTTAGTAACGTATTACTGAACCAAACTTGATCTTTCTTTAGTTAGCATTTGATTTGTTTTCGAAATTTGTTGTTAGACCTACAGATCAATCATTTTGTCGCGCAGAAACAACACTGTGCTCTTCGGTATAGACGGCAAGGACTCTGCTTCATAAG